TGGAATATGTTGAACGTGACCAAGTATTCTATATGTTCCATCCATCAGCTTCAATCTGACTCTACTAATACCAGCTACCCGATAAGGTTCGTTGTTACCCATGACAATGACATCTTGCGTCACCATCTCATATGCTTCAAACAAATCCTGATTGTGACACATGGAATGCACAAGCACTATCCAAAATCCATTCCTCGTCGATTTGGATTCCATGTCAGAAATCGTCTAAACATCTCTATCACTCAAATAGTTCTCAGTTATGTTGATCTCGTCTGAAGTATTTGATTGCTTCCCATGATTTGCAATCAAATTAACTTTGTTCTACAATTTGTCGCAACCCCTCTTCATGTATCCTTTTTTCTTGCAATAATAACAAACTTGATTACTGAAATTTATCCGTTCACCATGAACAAAATGGCCTTATCCATCTTTGGCCTCAGATACAAGTAGATGCTTTATCTTCTCTTTTGAAAATAAGGCATCATACGCATTTTCAATGGTGAGAATATCATAACTATACAAGATCATGTTTCTAAACGAAGTAAACGAAATGGGCAGCGAAAACAAAAGGATTAAGGTCAAATCTTCTTCATCATACTTTTCCTCTAAAGTCTTCAAATTAGCGACGATCTCCTTGAACACAACTAGATGTTTTTTCAAATATCCGCCTTCTGCCATGTGATGAGAATACAACATCTGCTTCATATGAAATTTGTTTGTCAGACTTGTAGTCATACACAATTGCTCCAACTTTAACCACAATACAGCTGTCGTTTTCTCTTTCAAAACATCCTGAACAATATTGTTAGAGAGATAAAGATAGATTCGTGAAAGTGCATTTTGATCCTTCCATTGTTCAAGTTGTGGACATTTTGTCAAATCCCAATAACGCATCAACCAAATCTATCTGCTTAAGTATAACTCACATCTTCCTTTGTCACAACGAGAATCTTGTATTGCGATCCAATAGCAAAATTTCATACTTTATGACTGTCATCGATAATAAAAATCTCGAACAAATCACAACCA